GCTACCCGACTTGGTTTTCCAGAAAGGTTGTTTAACTATTCGTGAATATAATAATATATTTGTAATATAAGTTCATTCATTTATTCAATTCTTTGAAACCAGGTTCTATTTTCCGTCACTATGGGTCTAACATCCAACTTCAAAGGATGTATATATATTAAAAACACTCGAACGAATCATTAATATTTAAACTCTAGTACGGAATTAGATATCTAAGTTAGATCTTCATGTTTGCCTCAGCTGTTGAACTCCCACCGTCTGTATGATACTTCGCATTGTTATTATCGCACACATCAGTAGAACTGATCGGTAATTTGCGAAGAAAAAATATTAGAACACGTTTCTCAAAAAAGTTAACTGTAGCACACAAAATAATGCCATTTTATTGTAGAACATGAGCTTTGTGATTGTACATGCGATTTATGACCAATTTTGTCAAAAATTATGAGTAGGCTTCTACCTTAACAATGACGTGTCCGGGTCCGCCGTTCGCCAGGCAAATATTGTTAAAAACGATAATAACGAAAACGCATTGGTATTATAACTATATATAGATTTGATATCAGCCAGACTAAAAAATCTACAGATACCCGTATGTATCATGAGATGTGTTGATTAGTGAGATTTGTCAGGATTGTCGCCCTTTGTTGACATTTGAATGACATGAATTGTGAAACATTATGCTGGAGCCAAAGTCGATCAAAATAATACCCCATACCTGTCATTCGATGAATACTCGAAATATGCCGTCACTCGCGACGCTCTGGAATTCGTGTACAGTTGATAAAGACATATTTGCTATAATTAATATGCCATCTGGTTTTGATAGCGTGATGATAAATTACTACACCTATAACGTTATTTTTGCACTTCGTTTGAAAACACTGAAAAGATCATTTATGAAAACAGGACAGTCTATTGCTAATTTGCATATTATCTCAATTCACTCCATGTAAGCAAAATCCCCCAAAAAATTTCAGAACGGATTTTGATAAAATTTGCTACATGTTGGACATCTGCTGACTGATGATCCTAACTTCTGAATGCCATTGCTCCTTCAGTGACTGTTGAGAATTTTCATTGATTGCATATTTCTGTAGTCACACGTCAGCTTTGCAGAGTTTGAATCCAAATTAGGTCCCAGAAGTGGAATAGCAAATACGGAAAATAATTATCTTTCTGTTTTTTTGTTGATAAAATGAGTTTTACACATTTGACCTAATTATTTTACAATTGACAAGTTAATAATTTCTAATAAGAAAACATTTCATAACATTTGCAAACATGCGACAGCTGACTGACAATTTACCATCATCCTTGTCACGCGAAAAGCGCGAGATACTACCGGTAATGTGAAATTAGGCGACGTACTCGTTCTGTGCATTGACTGTGGTGCATTAACTAAAGATTATAACTCAAAACACATTTTTTCAGCTTTATGTCTGATTATTTCTAAACTATCATTATTAATACTATCGGAATGTAATCCTCTAGCTATGAGATTTAGCTCCACGTCGTATGTTATGTCCGCGTGACCTCGTACAAATCGTTTTCAGTCTAACAGTGAATGAAACAGATAAATGGTACACGTGACAATACGGGCGATATTGTGGTTATTTTTGCGTTGCTGGTATACCGACCGAGCATAATATTTGCGGGGGGGGATTCGATCTTCTAAACATTCAGACTCGGTCAAATGTCGAACTTATGATACCTCGCGAACAATACAAATCAACTCCTTGATTCATCAGCAATATATATAAAATACACGACTGAGATTGAGGTAGACGGCAAACAAATAAATATAAAAATAAATAAACGACATTTAAACTCGTGACGCCAAAATATATAACCTCGCCCAAGATTCTGTGTCGTCTCTCGTGTCAGTACATGAGATGTGAATATTACTCTGACGTTTGAATTAATTGACTAAATTGACACCGAGTGTGCTAGTTTCACATAGAATATACATACAATGGAGCACGAAGAAAACATATGATCTGAACATGATTGATTCTGGGCATGTGCAGTACACTTCCAAATAACAGTGATATTAATAAACACGAACATGCATTATTCTGCAAACGATTAAGGGTTTAAAATCGATAAAAATGGACGAATCTCCCCATAATAATACTATTATAGAATGAATCGTTTTCAAACCCCGCTGTTTAAAAGAGCTACTATACAATGTCACTCTAAACCGAACGGGACATGACGTCACAGTATGAATTTTAAGCGCCTGTACTATATGGGTAGTAATAAAATTGATTTGACAGAAACCATATTTTGACATTTTACTGAGTATTAAAAAGCATAGCCACGTATATTAAAGGGTGGCAGTCGTCGTGCCGCGTCGTGTTCGATATGGGACTCATAGCGACGTATACAACGCGTGTAAAATACATTGTTTATTTACATGAAATTTGAACACGCGCTGTGCGACGACCACCGCGCTTTAAGTTATACTAATGAGAATTATCGATATGTTAATTTTCCTTCATTTATCCGGTTTCCCGGAGCTACCGTGGCTAGGGAGTCACCTTACTTTGAGAAACGATGTACGCTTGAACCTTTAAATATTATTATTACTTTTATCTTTTATGAGACACAATTTAACACTAAGTCAAAGTCCCCTGAAATATAAACGATTCATCCCTAAACCGTACGTTTAGACACGTGCGTCATTCTGATGTAAAAGAATAACAGGTTTTGCTCTAATAACTGAAAACAACCCTAGAAACATGTCCACGGGCACTCTCCCGGGGATTCAACAAATATGCCAATTCAATATGATTATTTCACGGACCCCCGTCTACACTCCCTGTGCTCGTCGGCCTTTTTGTAAAATAGCTTTTCAGTGTTTTTAATTATAAATATAGGACAAAGGAAGTCGATATTAAATGTTCTACTAATACTGGATAAACGCATATCATGTTATAACAAGTCTGCCACATATTAATTCGTGGAATGCTAAACAAATAGCTCTGGCAAACAGTGATATTATTTCTATTTTTTTAAAGTGGAAAAAAATTTGTGATAAAAAACACAAATCATAGAATAATCATCTATTCTGGAAGAATTGGTATCCAGCAGTAGAACAACCATTGATGGATGTGTTATAGTGTTTTGCTATTGGTTACCATGGCAATGTGATATATAAATGAATTTCGCGCACAGAGTGACAGTGTGCGGCAATAATATACTGGCAGGTTGTTTTTTTTTGTGTGGAAAAACCTTCACAGTGTGGTCTTTTGAAAACCGACGTAAAATTAAAACTATTTCCATCTCTATTGGTACTTGGTCGTGCAGCAGACACGAAACAAAATTTATCGATATTATTCTTTTGGGATTTATTATTCGAACATTTCGAGCTGAATTCAAATTTGCCGTTGCTGAGCTAGTTGCCACGTGTATATGCAATGCATTATGGGATATTTTCTCGTCACAGTGTTATACTTGAAACTCACTAAACTAAATGTCAATGTTTGGACATGTTTTAATAATATTATGATTTACTTTTTCTTCCCGAAATTTCACCATAGAAACAATAGCAAATTTCCCGAAAAATTGTTGCTAATAGTGTTTTTCAATTTTTGGAATCTTAATTGATTTAACCCATGAAAATAGAAAAACACAAAAAAGATGACATATAATATTCAATCTGGCACGATATGCGCGAACATGTGCAAGACGCTGAAGATACTTAAAGCGTAGGGGGTCTTCACTTGCGCATGCGCGGAAATTGAGTCCCAAGCGACGATAACAACGCACGCTAAAAACGCAAAGAATCATGGGTAGAAGTTTGTGTGTAAACGCAGACATGCTATAGCCGCCTGCGCATGTGACACTCCCCTGCTTTAATGTATCGTTGCTCCATGCCTTGTATATCAGTCCCATTGGAATGCCAACTGTGGAATACGCGACGTTTTAGGGGCCGAGAAGCGACGGGAAAGTAAATCATTTTGCCGTCTACAAAAACCGTCGTTCGCAACGTCGTGCGCATACTTATGGCGGACGAGATCTCGCGAGACGCGAGCGCAATTTACTACCTCTCCAGTTTCGTCACCGTTATAGTAAAGATAAATTATTAACGCCGGATTTTTTTTTCTCCCGCTGATTTAGTAATAAATGCTGAACGACCAGCTGTTCTATTAACTTGGCTTGTTTTGTTTCATTTTAGAGTGGCGTTGACAGGGTACCGTAATTGTCCAACTTGGAATTAAAAACAGATCTGTCATGACAGCGAGCTTGTTACCATGACTGAAACAGATGGTGAAACATTAAAACTGAAAGAATTTGCTGCACAAAACGGCCCGAAAACAACTGGGACATTCGATGGCGGGTATTCGCTCACAACTGATGAAGGTATGCATATATTAAGTTACACATTGCGCGCGTATTTGTTTCTCTCTCAGAACATTCTGTGTACCTGTCGTCTGTTGTGCAAGTAATCACCCAAAATGGAAATATATGTTTTTAGTAAAGACACAGAGAAAATGTTTTTCACATATTTAATGTTCTCTCCAGCAAGATAACTTACGTTTTATGTATGAAAGTAAATATATACGCATGCCATTCACCACCAGTCCAATTTTCAGATTCACTAGAAATAATTGACTCTCTGTTAAATACCGGAAAGGCACGTTGCTCAACTTCTTAGATTGCATTTTAATGCCAGCGTATCGGAATATACGGTATAGTTTTGTTCTTAAGAACGCAACACAACACGCAAAAGACAAAATAGTATTTTTGAAATCATGATTTGATATACTACTCCAAACCCGTAGTCAAGAAACAGGATTTCTGGGAACAAAATGACAGACATTAAATTATTGACAAAAACCCAACGCACAAATAATGTTTATATTTAAAACTAATGCGACGTTGTGATTAAAGCGGCTGACCACACCATAGTAGTTAGACTTGCACAAAGTCTCTTGTTTATATTTTGGCGTTTTTTTACTACAATAAAATATCGTGGGAATGTTTAAATGACAAAAGCCGGTTTACCGCGAAAATCGGGTTACCACGAAATAAACTTGTTACCCGACTTTCGCCATTTATACACTCCCATATTTTATTTTATTTTATTGAAAAAAAACACCAACAAATGACCAATACTATATGCATGTCTAGACCATCGTAATTAAAATATATATTGAAGTTTGCTAAACAGCACGCTCAGGGTATTCTACTGCGTTCACCATAGGTTAAATGCAATAGCGTATACCACTCGATAAATTCAGCAATCTGGTCATAATACTTGTTGTTTAAATTAATAGCAAGCCACACACGATACGCTGTACGTGACGTAACATCGTGCTAAGCGTGTTTACCGAATACGCCCGACTATGAACCCTCGCCGTGTCTATGATACGAGACGCACTTTTGTATTTTATGTTTTATTAACTTGAGCGTTTTCAGAATTAAAGCGACCCCAAAGTACGTCGCGGCCGGTATAGATTTTCGGATTTTTAAAACAAACTTTCCATATAAAATACAGATACATCCATTTTTCAGAACCTTTGACAGAGTGGGATCATCTCACAGCCGAAGAAGCAGAAAAATGGCGGAAATCGGCAATCTACGTTTCCTGGGCAACTATAATTTGTCTAACAATTCTAGGAATAGGATTTGTTGGTAAGGGTCACCATATATTCCGTATTTATTCCAATAAGATCTAGTCATTACCCAGCATTTTTTTTTCATTGTTGCCTTCAGAAAATATTTGAATTAATGAATGTCATCACAAGAGGGCATCGTCACGCCCGGTAATTGTTTTTATTTCCAACCAATTTAACCCTTGGCCCTAGACTTAATACATGTTGTCGTGTTCATTTTTACAGCCGTATCCATAGTAACAGGTAGTTCAGCAGCACTGGGACTAGCGGTGAGTTATGCATGATTTGTATTTTCATTATGACCTGATAACGTTGTCAGATTTAATATCCATGCGCCACGAAAATTAATGCGCGGACTTTGTCACCCTGCGTTGTTTTATGTAGACGCTCTAGACCAGCGAATAAAGTATTGTTCAAATTGTGATAAAAACATGAAACTTACTACACATGTAAAGTTTAGTGTGCGTATCAAAATATGAGATGGACCCACTTCGGATCTCTACTCTAAAGACAAATATTTGGGTGAAGTAACAACATTTTTGGTAAAAATTTTGAAAATTGACAAGCAATTAAACATTAAAAACAGTAATATATGCATAATATACAGAGTTGTACAAATTTAAGAAAAATTAAATATTTCAGTTAAAAAACATGTTTTTGGCCAAAGATTAATCCGCCACAGTCAATAAACATTATAGACTCTTGCGTGGAATTAGGAAATTAGGTAGGTGACCATTTTCTGGCATATTGGAATAGTAATTGAGCAACGCCATCTAGCGGGGGATAGTTCCTATTATGACATCAAGATTATTCAAATTATATAATGACATTTAGGATTGAACCTTAAATATATACCCACTGAAGGTGAAAAAAACAGTTTCAGAACATCAAAACATGAAATATTATTAATAGATTGTAAATAATAATTGTAGTGATTCATACGAGGACTTTAATTAACCTATATTTGTAGTCACTCGCAGTGATGGCCAATCTATAATATATTACATATTAAACAATATTTTGAGCAAGGAATTGTTTGGGTTAAATGTTTGTTAGTGGGTATTAGAGAATTTATTTCCCATGAAACCAATTGCCTTTGTTACTTGGAAGAATGTGACGGCATCTTTCGATATTATTCAGAATTCGCATTTGAACATTAGTGACTTAACACAGATCGTATCTTAATTGTAGGCTGGGGACATGGCTTGAAAAATAATATATAGTAAATGATGGGGTATTGTGTTCTATGGAATTGTTCTAAAAATATTAAGACGAGTTTCGTAAAAAATCGTCACTGTGACACACAAAATAATTTTTTTTATTGTGCCATGAAACATAATAAACCAATGAATATTGTCATGCAATTTATGATCGACTGGAATTATGAGTAGGCTTTACCTCAACGGGAGCTGCGTATTCAATTTCTTTACTGTTCAAATGTGCTACTCTTTCATGTAAATACTAGTATGTGATCATGATTGAAAATAATGTTAACAAATCCCAAATAATTTTACAATAATTTACTGCATGTTGCAACAAGCATGAATTCTGACCGTATGTATTACTATTAATAGTGTGCATGCATTTCTTGTGACTGGCGGTAGCTCGTCAATGTGGGCACAGCAACGAATAATGATAAACTTTGTCGGATCTTTTCGCAGATATCAAATATGTAATACTCTCTTTATAGCTTCTAAACAGCTCATTTATCTCTGTCCTCTTCTTTTCTTGTTGGTGGAGGTAGCTTTCTGCTCTTCTTTTTTCTGGTGTTAAACTCAAGGTAGGAAACAGGGAGGGTATTCTGTGTGAAATAAAACTAACCACAGTTTCGGAAATTGATCAGTACACTCCGCGCTCAGAATTTCTGAAAGTACACAGTATGTGGCTACATTGAGTGGAGAGACCGAATGCAAACACAAATTTGATTTTTTAAGAGGCAATATGGAAATCCGGGCAAATTGTAGAGTTTCCTATCGGCAGCATTTTTGTGTCTTTCATTACAATTTGAGTCGACATTTTCCGAAACTATGACTGTCGTTACGTCAGTGAGTGATATTGTCTTTACTTTTTTCTGTAGCCATATATGCAATATTTCATTTTGCTTCCCAGTCTGTAACCTGTCTTGTATTCAAGTTGTGTTTTTAGTCTTTTAGTGCATATACTATGCTGCTCTGAGCGGCATTTGAATGTACGCATGTCACCGTGATGCTGATTTTTGTTATTGAATATGTACCTGCCCGTACTAGTCATTATTGTCGATAGCTGTACACATGTTATTACACGTATTATTACAACAACACTATCGGAGTCTCTGCGCATGTGCGCGTTAGAGAATTGACAATAACTGGATGCGTATCAACAGAATATCTACTTATATATAAGACACAAAAGTATCAAAAGAAATTGAGATGCTGAATTGTTCGAGTTACGGACATCGAGTTACGAAAAAATCGAGTTACAAAAATGCCCACGTCCATATTTCAGAAACTTTTTGGCGAAACATATATTTTTTTA